CGACTTCGAAGACTTCGGAACGCCACCTCTAATCTACCAACCAAACGCTATCCCGCAGAACCGGGACTAGCACCAAATCTACGACTCTAACTACTGGTGGTCTTCATCGTCGCCGTCGACGCCTGAACGCCACCCAAATATCTTCTCGGTCGCCGGCCGCCGCGCGAAACTCCTTCCGCGCGCGCGCGGGCTCGCGTACAGCAGGGGATGACGAAGTGGCACTGTCCGCGAGGGGGTGACTCTTGGGCAGCACATATGGCCATACATACATACATATTAGCAATTGGAGCCGAGCGAGAAAACTCCGTACTGCTAATCTGTTATATTTTCTTCTCCAAAAAGTCAATCACAATATTGCAACTTTTCGGGGTATGGTCTTACATACATACATATTGGCAAATGCATCCCGAAAGGAGAACTCTATACTCGTATCTGTTATAATTCCTTCCTCGGAGAAGGAGAATTTATAACAGATACAGTATGAACTTTTCGGATTGCGTCCGAGCTTGCGAATATGTATGTATCTAAGGTATGCCCCCACCTGTCACATAAAATGCGGACGGTGGGACAATCTCCTGTCCGTCCTGTCCACCTGTCGACTCGCGCCATCAATTACAATATATTCGAACAATATGGGAGGTATGGTCAGGTATAAGACGGGACTCGGACACGAGAATCTCCTGTCCGTCCTGTCCTCCTGTCGACTCGAACCATCAATTACAATAATCGGACATTTTGGGAGGTATGGTCACGTATAAGAGGGGACTTGGACACGAGAATGTCCTGTCCGTCCTGTCCACCTGTCGACTCGCTCAAAATTTGAACATTTTGGGAGGTATGGTCAAGTATAAGACGGGACCCGGACACAAGATCCTCCTATCATGTGGTCCTCCTTCCGACCCGCTCCATTAATTACAATATTCGAGCATTTTACGAGGTATGGTCAAGTATAAGACGGGACCCGGACACAAGATCCTCCCGAGTCCTAAGTCTAAGACTGCCAGTGAGTCCAGTGTCCGTCCTTTCCTTCAGGCTTCAGTCTGGTCGACTCGTTCCACCTCAGGAATTGTATTCTGAGCGAAAGAGCTAGAAAGTCCAACCACGGCCACCACTTTAGCGCATTTGTGGTGCTCTTTCCAGCATTTTAAAGTAGAGAACTCGATTAGCAAGACTTGCAAGCGTCAAGTTGAGGTTTTTTTGAACTGCAATGGCAAGCAGTGGCGTTGTGCGCGAAGCGAATCCCGTCTCCACCATGTGCTGGCTGCAGCACAAGATGGGGGGGAAGCTGCAGCACGCTTGTCAGACTTGCTGGCATCCGCAAGAGACGGCAGAGCATGGCACTCTGCAGCTGCTTTGGCCGCTGGTTGCGCAAACAGGCATCGGCAAGAGCTGGCGCTGCGCGGCAGCTCTTGGTCAGTTTTCTGTGGGGTGTGCTGAGTTGGCAGCGGCAGGAATTGGCGCAGGCGCGGCATCCCATGGCAGCTCTGCATGGAGGACATGTGTCCAGCTCCAGCTCAGCTTGGTCAGTTTTCTGTGGGGTGTGCTGAGCTGGCAGTGGCAGGAATTGGCGCAGGGGTGGCAGCCCATGGCAGCTCTGCATGGAGGATATGTGTCCAGCTTCAGCTCAGAACCTTCAAGAAGCATACTTGGAATATCTTGAGTTGAGGGGGTCAAGCATAAAGGCATTTCCAAGGATCTCTCTTCAAATCAGGGGGAGCGCATTGGTACCTTCTTGCATGCAATTACAGGTAAGTATTTGCAGCCCTTCGTCGTGTGCAACTTCTACCCTAGTACTCCTGCTCGTTCGTTGGCGGTTTGTGCCGCTTTGGGCCCTGATATGCAGTTCCAGGTCAATTGAGCTTGGTAGAGTCCAGACAGGTTTTCTTTAAGCTGGCGCAATTGAGGCGCAACCAACCAAGGGGTGGCGGCTGGTTGTTGCGCTCAAGTTCCGTAGTAATCTGATTTGCTGTGGCAATTGCTAGCGGCTTTCTTTAGATGTTGATTGGACAGCCGAGATTCCAAGCTAGGAGCACCTGGTTCTGAATTTCGAAGATTGCAAAGTGGTGGAGACGCTACTTTTGATTATTATTGTGTCAATCAGTTTCTTGCTGGTTTGGAGCTTGGAGCATCTGCGCAGGTTGCTGGCACACAATGCTCAAGCTCTTCAGGCGTTGAACGTGTCATTGAGCTGAAGGTGCGGTAGGAGCGTAAGAAGCATGCGGAGAAGTGTGTTTCTTCTATACTGCCCCTGCAGGATTGGCGCACGAAGAATAGAGCTACTGCAAATTGGGCTGCAAGTGTGCCCACTCAAACAGCTGAGGACTAGGTTTTGCAAGCGCTCCATGAGAACTTAAAAACTGGGCAATCCTGAGGTAGAGAGTAGCTCGGCAGGAGGCTGATTCAGCATTTTATGTGGGGGCTGATTTTGGAGCCAATTGCAGCTTATTTCGAGCTTGCTGTCGGCTGATTTGTCGCTCGTTGTGGGGCTCAGTCTTGCTTGCTGGGGGCGGTTGAATTTGGTGCTTGAGGTCGGGCTGATCTGAAGCTGCTGTTGGGCTGATCTAATGCCCGCTATTTCAGAAGAAACAAGCATGTTTAGAAGCCTGCGCTTAGAGTGCAATGACATTGACTTGTCATTCGCGGCCTTCCATTGCAGGTTGACCATGGCACCATCCGAGCCTTCAAGCCCAGACTACTCTAGCTCGAGAGCACCTAAGGAAGAAGAAGGGTCGACCAAGCGACCGGCAAGCAGGAAGCGTGAGCGTGACATCACGAAGGAGCTACCGGTCCAAAGCACGGTCTCTAGCAGCAAGCAACGCCTTGAAGGGATGCAGGTGATCACAACCTCAGTTTTTACCCATTATTTGGACGCGCTCTCAATGCAGACTCATGCGTGTACACGATCTGGTGCTTATCTTGAAATGGAGGCCAATGGAGATCATTGGTGCAGATTGTCAGGACCCATCATGCCGGGCGCTGCTTTTGGTCCTTCTTTGATTCATGGAACAAGGTTTTCACGATTTGCCTTGGTTGAGAAGCTCTAGTGTAGACCAGTGGTGCAGAGTCGTCAGCCCCATGCCGCGCTCTCCTGGGTGTTTGTGAGAAGCTGACAGTTTGCATTGGTTGAAAGACTTCGATGTATAGTCGAACGGTGCAAATTGTCAGGCCCATACTGAAGCTCCCCTTGTTTTCGTCTGACCTTCATGCAGCGAGGTTTGACAATCTGCATCGGTTGAGAAACTTGATATGTTCAGATCACTGGTGCAAATTGCCGGGACCCAGGCCGGACGCTCCTTTGATTCTTTTGAAGAGACATGAACCGAAAAGCTGATAATATGCATCGGTTAAGAAAGTTGAATGTGTAGACCCATGGGTGCAGATTGTCAGGCCCACAATTTCGACAATCTGCATTGAAAAATAGAGAAGTTACTGCGTGGAAGTGGAGGTACAAGTTGACAGCATTCGTTGGGTACTTTCTGGATCAGGGTTGTGACAATCCGCACCAGATTTTAAAGGTGATTGTATAGACCCTGAAGTGCAGATTGTCAGGTCAAGAAGCTCGCTCCCCCCACCTCTCTAGGACACTCGGATGCAGTGCGCAGATTGAACGCCCCCCTCACCCAGTTCTAATGAAGCCCTTGAACGATGCTGTGTGCAATTCTCAAACGGCCGAGCTACTGTAGAGTCGATGTCCAACAGACTCCGCATGCTTCCTCTCGCAGGCAAGAGACGGCCCCGAGGATGGACAACACGCCAGCACGGACCAGTCGCAAGGGTCGGCTTTGGCTGTGCAGATGCCATCAGAAGAAGGAGGCTCGGGCAGGAAGACTTGGAGGAGACTTGTCAAGCTCTCGGAACTGGCCAGCGGAGACGCACTGGACCCGACTGCAGGCAGCATGGCTGAATTGGCTCCCCATGATGGCATAGAGTAAGTACACGTAGCACACACACTGCCCTGAGCTCGCATGTCAGTCTTTTGAGGATCGCTCGGACGGTAGTCGTGCCTTTCATAATGAGATTGTTCCAGTGACGTCGAGCGCTTTTCCACGAACAGGAGTCTATTCAAATCATAAGGCAACCTTTTGCTCGATCTCCAGGAGGCAGACAATCTGGATGACGACCTTGGAGAGTCATCCGACCGGGCCACGGGCGGCCTGCGATGGGCCAAGCAGGGCAAGGTGGCGGAAAGAAATCGTCGACCGGCGCAGAAGAAGAAACGGTAAGCTCGTCGGTTCAGCTTATCGCTGTTCTTCTCATGTTCGGCACACGGGTGACTCGTGTGCCCTCACCGCAATGAGATGCTGCTCCCTGAGGCTTGCGGATGGCAAGAGCACCTCTTTAGATTGAGTTAGGGTTCATCGAATTGCCGTTGCTGACGAGAGCGTACCGAGCTTTCTAAAGACTGGAATCTAAAGTAAGACGCGCGGCCGCGAGTCAAAAGCGCGTGCTCGAAAACGGTCGAACGAAACCCTAGCGGCCGCGACCGATGCGCGGTCGGCCACACGCGCCCCGACAGAGCTTGTGCAGATCTTCGAAGCAGCAAGCCAGCCGTTGAATTTCCGGTGCTGCAGATATCGCCCGATTTAAACCTGAACTCTTCTTGTGCTTTCCAGCAAACGGGCAAAAACGAACCCTGTCCCAGCGGACGAGGCTGCTCGGGCGGCTGGTCGAGCGGCTGTTGAAGCTCATCGCCAAAGTTCGGAGGCATTGAGGGCCCCCAGAACGCAACGCGACGGGCAAGACGTACATCGGACGGAGCTGGGTGACTTTGAAGGCCCGCTTGATGCACCCCCCGTCGTGAGTTGCCTGCAGAAGCCTCTATGTGCAGCCAACCACTGCCTGCGTGGTTTGCAATTGGTTGATTAGCTTGTGCGCACATCGTTCTCGCAAATTTGGTGGGGCAAATCTGGTGGGGTAGGATGCAGCTGCCTTTTATTCTCGAAGTCCAAATTCAAGTGTTGCAAAGCGTATGTGATGTTTTGCCATCTTCGCCTGCTGGAAATAGAGGGTGGCAGACAGGAGGGACAGCAGAGACACGTCATTTTCTGTTCCATTTTGTCATCCCCTCTCTCTGTCCACAGGTACCTGGAGGGTGCTCTCCAGAGGTGGGGGGCCGCTTGCCTCCTTCGAGCGCGCACACCGCCGATGAGAAGGACGAGGTGGAGATAGGCGGAGACGGTGGTGCCCCTTTGTGCGCAGGCCCCAAGAGTGATGGAGTAAGGCCATCTTGCATGCCCCAGTCCTTGTGTCATGTGCTCTTGTGTCATGTGCGCTTCACTCCAGCAGCAGACACGACGGACAGCAAGGACACGTGTTTCTCTTGTCTTCTTCATGCTCTCATACATATTTCCGTCTGTGCTCTAGCAAACAAGTTGGACAGCATAGACACGTGTCTCTCCTGTCACCGTTCAAAACTTCCGACTCCTCTCCTGCAGGTTGCCGACGCCTCTGGTGGCTCCCCTCGTGCAAGCGCGCACACCGCTGACCCAGTGAACGAGGTAGGTCATCGACTAGTGATCAAACAGATTGGCATAAGATAGAGGCAGTAGATGCGGCATCTTGGTGGTGCGGAGTCGAGCGCAAGCCCCCTCAGCATTGGGATAAGTGGGGGGCATGTGCTGGATCTCTTTGCGGATCTCTTTGCGGCCTGTCCTCCATGGCGGACTGGACGAACAGCATCCCGTCGTCGGCCATATTCTCCTGCGTGTCGCCGTTCGTGCTCTGGCAGACAGGACGGACAGCATGGACACGTGTTTCTCCTATCAGCCGCCGCTTGTGACCCCGACCCTATCACGTGCAGCAGAGGGGGGTGGCTCGCCAAGCGCGAAGATGCGCAGTGAGGATCGCGCAGACGGGATGGAGAGTGACGGGGCCGGAGATGCAGAGTCGAATGCTGAGACGTCGTGCGACTCGGGGCCCGTGACCATTGGGGTAAGGATCCCACATTCGATCAAGTCACTTCAGCTGAAATGTGCTCAAGCATTAGGTAGTGAAAACGGTGCGTCTCCATCTAGTTTTTCCAAACGATGTGTGAGCAGGCATCAGAAATATCGATGACGTTCTGGTCATGTACATTCACTCAGAGGTTCAACTTCTCCAGTCGCTCTTGCTGCCAACTCGTGGGCCAGAATTGGCATCGATTCTTCTTCACGATGCCTTAACTGGATCGGTTGTCCTAGATCAAGCCTGGTACTTCCAAGCGGATCCCAATTGCGCCCTAGTACCTCAAAAAGAATCTTGTCTAGGTGTTTGGATTCGCTTGAGGATCCATTGCGAGGCTGGTTTCGAGCTCGTGGTTCGGCCTTGTGCCGGATTACGCTGGTTTTCTTTAAGTGCTGTGGGCCTGATTTCAGACGTGTGGTTAAGTTATTTTGGGGCCGTGGTCGGGTGTTTTGGGCTGCGAATCAGATTGTTTCGGCCTTGCCGTGGCCTTGGTATTTGCCCCATCTTGACCCGCGGTTGGGCTGGTATGTGGGGGTGCGGTCAAGTTGCTTCTAAGCCAAAGTCAAGGTGCTGATTTTGAGCGGTGACCAGACCGATTTCCGCCCAGCTGTTGTCCGAGTTCGTTCCCAGGCTTTCGGCCACAGACCCTAGTCATTTTGAGGGGCAATCTTCTTTCTACTAACAAGGAATTATCCCCTACAGGCGGCGGCACACCGGTCCTGCAAGCTGGGGAGCCCCGAGGTGTCCCGTGCTACCAGAGAGCCGGATCTGGCGAACGTTGAGCTCCAGACCGAGGTGGTGCGCGAGCTCGAGAAGCTGCTCTCGACCTGGGGCGACAGCACCTCGGTCTTCTGCGGCGCCAAGCCGTCCTCGACGGGCATAGGGGTCATCTACGAGTTCCGGAACGCGCCTGGCGGGCGCGTGACGTGCCCCTACTTCGCCGCGACGTGCGAGGGCGTGCACGGCAGCGACGCCTTTGGGCTCCTTCGGCAGGGGGTCGAGGTGACGTACGTGTGCTACGCAGAGAGCTGCGAGGCCACCGCGCAGTCAGGCAACATCAGCCTAGGCGTTCTCCCCCTGCCGATCGCCGCGGCCTTCGGCGACAGTCAGCCGCTCAACAGCGAGCGGAACCACCTCTACTCCGACCGGCAGCTGCTGCCGCTGCCGTTTCTGCGAGAGAATCTGAATATTAGGAAAGGTGAGCTTCGAATGTTGCCTCCCGAGACCTCCTTTGAGAAGCAGCTCTAAGGCCTGTCCTACAACTGCGATTTGGATTTCAGTCTCCTGTTTTTCATTGCGTTTTGACGGAGTCTGCAGACCCGTTTTTCACCTTTTTGTAAATGTGAGAAGTTAAAAGAGACACTTTTTCTCGTTCGTATCTGCATGATGCCTACGGTCGTCGATCTTGAGAGCCAGACTAGCTCAGAAGCAACGACTGGGCGTACAACCGCGCAGTCTTGGAATGAATTGCTTACCATCTGCCTTCTCGCCCCTGCAAACCCGTTTTGGGGCCCTTGAATGAGGCGCTAACTTCTAGGAAGCACTTTCATCTCGGTCGTATCTGCACTCCCTCCTAATGCGATCTCCCCATATCTGCAGGAGACGTGGGTGGCGCCGTCATCCTGGAGCGCCTCTACGTCCGGACGGGCCTCAAGTTCGCCTTCACCTCCTCCGGCTCGTACTACTGGACTGGTCGGAGCTGGGCGAAGGACGAGAGCGGCGGCCGCATCCTGCGAGTGCTCCGCGAGGAGCTCTCCAAGATCGAGGCCGAGTACATACGCGAGGCAAAGGAGGGGGGGGGAGGAGGGGTCTCGATCGCTGTGGCAGACGGATCGAGAGGGGACGAGGACGGGGGATGGGGTGCGATCAAGTCGAAGCCGGCAGGTGGCGGGAAGAAGCGTAAGACGGAGAGGGAGGAGAGGCTGATCAACGTCAACTTCAACGCGAAGATGTCCAACATCATCGGAACGTGCAAGGACTACTTCTATCAGCCCGGCTTCCAGTCCCTGTTGGACGTGCAGAAGGACTTCTTGGCCGTGGCGAACGGCGTCATCGACCTTGCGGACCGGCGAGCTGCTTCCGCATCACCCTCGGGTGAGGGATGGATCTGTGCCCGTGTGCAAAAAAACGCAGATCAGTTAAGGGACTTCGGCAGAAAGTTTGTGTTTATGGAGGCATTGGCCAAGTCCACCGGAGTCAGGTCGAAAACAGTTCGCAGTTCATGAACACTCGGGTGATCGACTGGGCGTACCCTCGCGCTGGATCGTTGGTTCCAAGGAGCGAGATGGTGCGCTTCTTGGAGGACATCATGCACGTTTCCGGAGAGGATGGGCCGGCCGCTTTGGAGCACCTCCAGGTGCTGCTCGGGTACGGGCTGACCGGTCACACAAGCAATCAGGCAGGTGCTGCTATCAACCAACTCTGCTTTAGTTACAGAAGTAACTTGTAGGTAGCACTGGATTCGTACTACCAGTTTTTAAAATGCTTACTCGTGAGCTCAAAGGTTCGACGGACTTGAGTGATTACGTGCTGCTTCAATCGTCAAGGACCCTACGACCGCATGAGGCCGTTTTAAGACTTAGCTGTGGAGGATCGCGAATCTTCGGCCCATCAATTGCCAGCCATTCAGTCGAAGGTCTTGGCGCTTCCCCGTTCTGTGGTGATGGTCACAGCAGACGACTTTCGTGGAAGGTGGCCGCCGAGCATCTGCAGCCTTGTAAAGTCTCTCGTGATCTTTCTCAGGTACTGCCGATCTTTGTTGGCGAGGGCAGCGCGGGCAAGAGCCTGCTTCTCGCGCTGCTGCGCAAGCTCCTCGGCGCCGCCTTCAAGGATGTTGGCAAGGAGATTTTGGTGAGCTCAAAAGGGCAGCGAGCCGCCCACAAGGGGGCCGCTTCGCCGCTCGAAGCAGGTGAGACTTCACCAGAACTCCCTCTCTCTCCCAAAACTTAAAATGATGATGCATCTTATTTGCTTAGGGATGCATGACAGTTTGTCTGACGGCAGATTCTCGTGTCTGTCTTGTCGATCCCGTCGGATCGTCCTGCAAACTTCAATGTCCTGAGCATTTTACCTCGTTCCTCATCGAATGTGGCAGGAAATGCAAAATTTGTCCGCCAGCAGATTCTCGTCCTGTCGATCCTGTCTTCGGGGCTGCCCAATGTGCGTGAATTGGCATCAGTGTTTTGACCGGAAGATCTCTGCTTTTTGTGCAGGGCTTGCCGGAGCGCTACTTGCGGCGGTCGAAGAGACCGAGAGGTCGGATTCGCTGAACGAGGCCGGCATGAAGAAGCTCACCGGCGGCGACGTCATCACCGCTCGGCCTTTGTTCCGGGACTACGTCACCTTCACTTCGACCGTTCTGGTGAGGCCAACTTATGGATTGCGATCGAACTCTTGCAATTGAATGACTTCGATCCGGCAGCAACATGATACGATCTCTTGTCAGCAGCAAGAGGGCTTGATCTCACGTGGCATGCTCGAATCTGTTGGCTTGAGCACGTGGCATGCTCGAATTCGTGGGAATGAGCCAACAAAATTCTGATTGCGCCCTTCTCGAACCTTTTTTGCAGCTCATCATCTGCACGAACTACCTCCCGCGGACGGACAAGACCTGGTCCGTCGCCCTCCGGCGCCGTCTTCAGCTGGTTTGCTTCGTGCGGCGCTACTTCTCGCCCCACGAGAAGGGGTACGACCCGGCCAACCCGCTGCACGGGCTGGTGGACACGCGACTTCTCACCAAGCTGAGCACCTTGCAGAACATGCAGGAGTTGCGGGCTTGGCTGGTCGCAGGAGCGGTCAAGTGGTACCAGAACGGGCAGCAGCTGTACCCCATGCCGATGCGGAGCATGGACGCCCTGCAGGACTACGAAGAGGCCGCCGACGACTTCGACAACTTCGTCCAAAACAGCTGCGTCAAGGGCGATGACCTCTTCATCTCGACGAGCGATGCCCTCAAGGCGTACAACGACCCGCAGAGGATGGTGGGCAGCAAGTGCGTTGGCCATATCCCCTCGCTCGACACCAAGTCCCTGAAGTCGGCGATGAACAACCACGGCTTCTCGGGTTCGGACAAGCCAAGCAAACTTGGCCTCGGCGTAAAGTATTGCGGCATAACGGAGCGAGGGTATAAGGGCCTTGCGCTCAAGTTGGTAGAGGTTAAGATGGAATAAGGAGTAGGAGAGGAATCATTGACTTGCATATAGCCTGGAAGGATCGACTAGAATTGATAGCACTATGTGAGATTTGACTAGGATCATCATTGTTCTCCGCAGACGTTGCATTTGTTTTGGTATTGCCTTGCATACATACATATTGGCATGTGGATCCCACAACGAAAACTCCGTACTACTAATCCGTTATATTTTCGTCTCCAAAAAGTCGATCATCAATATTGCAACTTTTCGGGGTATGGTCTTGCATACATACATATTGGCATTTGGATCCCACAAGGAGAACTCTATACTGCGTATTTGTTATTATCCCTTCCCCGGAGAAGAAAGAAATTATAACAGATATAATACGAACTTTTCCGGATTTCGGCCGAGCTTGCGAATATGTATGTATCTAAGGTACGCCCCTACCTGTCACATAAATGAGGGACAACGGACAGGACAATCTCCTGTCCGTCTTGTCCAGCTGTCAATTCGCCCAATAAATCACAATGTTCGAACATGTTAGGAGATATGGTGTAACTTGCGTAAGACGGGACTCGGACACGGAAAGATCTCATGTCCGTCCTGTCCACATGTCGATTCGCCTCATAAGTCACAATGTTCGAATATCCTTTAGTATGGTGTAACTTGCATAAGACGGGACACGGACACGAGAATCTCCTGTCCGTCCTGTCCTCCTGTCGAATCGCTCCATGAGTTACAATATTCAAACATGTTACGTGGTATGGTCAATTGAAAAGCGGCCGGACTAGGACACAAAGGGCATGGGGGGTCAAGCATGGGGGGATCAGTCCATGTCTTGGAACGAAGGTTCAACTCGAAGGCCGCTACAAGCGGCACATGAATTGGGACATTGATTAGAGAGTCTTGGTCATTTTGTGGCAACTTTTATCGAACGTAATCTAGGCTTTAGAATGGATGCGATCCTCGGGTTTCGGCCACAATCCCAGTTTGCTATCCAGCAGATGGACAGACAAGTGTTGGAATCCGCTAGATCCGCAATTGTCAGATCTTACCAAGAGTTTGGATTACTCGAAACCGTGCTCGACGTAGCTGCGCTTGGAGGCATTCGTGCCTTGGCAGAACCGTTTGATCTTCGTCACATCACCAGATCACTGGTTCGATCGTTAGTTGCCGAAGGCTTTCATGCTTTTTGGGACAAGTCGAACATCAATGGCCCCTACGCTGTCAAAGTGAGCTGGAGAATTGCCCTCAAGAACGCGTCCCAAGCTCGGCGTCGAGCGCGCAAGTTGCGATCGACCGAGCCACGGCAGAAAAACACATTGCGCGAACAAGAAGAGATTTCTCCGTTTGGTCCCGCGAGTTTCAACGCCTGCTCTCCATCATCTTTCCGTTATTCGCCCAGCGTGGTATGGAGTGATGCTCCCATCTTGGAGCTAGAGTCGCTTGCAAATCCCAACAAGGCTCGTCTCGCCCACGAGTCTCCGAAAGATCTCTCTCCAAGATAATTGAATCTCTTTAAAAGCACCGTTTTGGAGATTATGTACACTCATATTCGTGTATCTGGCAAAAGTCGGTTATCGGCCGATACTAGAAAAGTGATAAGGCCCCCATGTCGGGTTTTAGGAGCTTCTCCGCGTCAGATAACCATGAAAAGCTTCTACGCGCATTAAAACGGTGGAAAGCAAGATGAACACGCATATTCGGTATCTGAGCCTCTTGCGGTCATCGGCCGTGCATCTTTAATTTCTCGGTATCTAGATACATACGGCATGGATGCTTTAGATGCAAACACAAAGGTTATAAGGACCCCAATATCAGGCGAACAGCTGCTCCATGACGTGTTTGATGATTCGACGCGAAAACCTTACACTGTCGAGCAATATTGCGCTCGCGTGATGCGTCTATTCAAGAGCATATATGCTCCAAAGGAGGATTTCGACTCTCTCGACTGGGTGAAGGATACGACCAAGATCATCGAGTATCTGGATACCGTGTACTCCGACAAGCTACCAACTCAAGCTACGAGCCTAAGTCCGCTTCTCGTTATTGCTCGAAAATTGTGGCCTAGTGATCAACGAACCTACGAGGCACTCTTCAAGAGATACACAGCCGTTCGAAAGGCCATGGAGGATGCTCGGCCTGCCCAACACATGTCAGAACGGGAAGCCAAGAATTGGAAAACGCTTGACGAAATCAACCACCGCCGCGTCGAGCTTCAACGGAAGATCAATCGATCCATTGTGCCAAAGAGGCCAGAAGAGGTCACTGTTGCGGACAAGGTAACGCTTTGCCGATACCTTGTCCTTTGTTTGTACACTCAAATGCCAGCAATTCGTAATGATTGGAGCGATCTTCCCATCGTGCGCTTCGAAGAGGTTGGGAGCGCTGCCGCACGTGAGTTGATGTCCGGATCTCGCAACTACCTTCTAGAGTATGCAAAGGGCACCTATAGGCTTCATCTCAACTCTTACAAGACGGACAAGACACACGGCCCACAAGTTCTTGACATACCAACCCGGCTTTGCAATGTGATTGCGGAAAGTCTCACTATTTTCCCACGAAAGTACCTTCTAAGCCGAATGAGGACACCAGACGCCCCAATGGGGTCAGGGTACCTGACGAAGTTCTTAGCAGCCATTTATCCCGACTCAAATTTGGGATCGTGCCTCCTTCGAAAAATTACTGTGAGTAATGCAATGAAGGATGCGCCAAGCCTCCATGAGAGAGATGAGCTTGCCAAGTCGATGTTGCACACGGCACCGATCGCGATGCGCCACTATGAGCTTAAGTACAAACCCGATGGAAGTCGCATCCAATTTTGAGCAACCTCACCACTTGGCGGCCTCTTAAGACACTTCGATGCAGCTTGTGAAGGCGCCCAATGAAAGGCCCGTGGGTTCTTTGGAGAAACATGTATTTTGCGGCACCTTATAGCCAGCATCAATCAGTCGCTGAGCCGTTGTTTTGTGGAGTTTCTTTGTGGTGCCCGAAAGAAATCGTTTGTAAGCCTTTTGAAGCAGAATGTTCTCTCGATTCCGACCATAGTACCTGCGAACGTTTTGCGCGTGTTGCTCATGGTGCTCTTTTTGGTACGCGCGGCTTGTTTCGCAGACACGGCAATGACATGGATGGATCTTAATATCACTCGAGGAATACGTGCTTTGGACCATGATGCCCTATGACTAGGATTCGGAAATAAGTAGTATGAGAACGCAGTTGGCAGTGAAGCGCGTTTCAATCAGCCCCATTATTTCCTGACTAGAGTACAGACATCATGGCCACGCAAACAGCTGTCCAAGCTCCCAGCTCTATGGCCTCGGCCCCAAAAGACCCCAAGGCCCGTGGGACTCGATGTATCAGAGACGAGATCCAACGACTTGCCAATAATGGCCTATATGCGCTTCCCGTCTCTGTCTCGTGGGATGAAGATAAGAGCAAGAAGAAGGGTGACTTCCCTCACAGCTATGCACACATCAAAACACCGGAAGCATGGGAGCGGTCCATCAATCCTATGATGAAGGAAAAGCGAGATGCAACCGGGCTTGCAATACTTGCGGGAGTTAGTAGAGTGTACGTGGTTGATATCGACGTAGTTGCAAAGGACGAGAAGCGACCGGGGATCGAGCTCTGGGAGCAACTTGTTAGGATCCATGGAGAGCCAGAGACACTCAAAGCGAGGACCGGTTCTCATGGATTGCACTTGTACTTCAAGCTCGACTCGCCTCATCTCACGTGGAAACAGAACTTTTCAGGTGTAAAGGTTGACAAGCAGACCTTTGGCATCGATGGAAGAGGATTGGGGGGGGTCATATTCGCTCCACCGACAAGCTATCTAAAGGCCCACGGCGAGCTTGCAACATATGAGTGGATCAATGGACCTCCTAGCTATGAAGCGTGCCAGGAAATGCCATTTTGGCTAGCGAAATTGGTCAACAATCATGCTGGCCAACCTGCAATCACGAGCGAGGGGGGAAAGGAAACAACTGACAGAATTTCGGGAGCAAGCGCCGAGGCATCTCAGCCTGGAGGTGCCAAAAGTCCTACTTTTGAGATAACTGGCACAATCTCAGACACGTATTCGCCACACGGCAAAGAGCTTCTATTGGAGGAGCTATCAAAGATGTTAAAGAAGGCCGGCGACTCGACGAGTACGTACGCGAGCTCGTTGTCACATGGCCTCTACGGCACTTACTATTGCTATCGAACTTATGGGCCTCGAAGGTGCTTTCTTGGTCATCAACACTCAGGGAGCAACAATTTCAACCTGCTCAAGAGGGGGCGCAACGTGTACTATCGTTGTCATGGCGTCGATTGCTCCCATAAGCCGCCCAAAAAGTTGGGGGTCCTGGAGAATTTGAAGGCGGCTTTGCAAGATGCCACCACAGAGCCGGTCGACCCTCACGACGACATGCATACAATCACCCAATACACAAGAGGAAGCCAAGAGGTTCAAGATTTGCTCCTTCGAATCGTCGTTGAGCATGCGGCTCCAGAGGCATATGCCAACTTGGGGCGTCTCTTTGCCTATCTGTATATGATCGAGGGTCGAATCCTCGTGACCACCAATGAGGCAGATTCAAAGAGCCGAGGCCCGCTCTTCTATGTGTGGAGCGGCACATCATGGGTGCATGACACCTTCAACTTGGTTGCGGGCGTGTTCACAAGTCAGATGGGCTGTCTCTTGGCGTGGTACGAGCGGCAACGAGAGAGATGTTTGGGCACTTTGTATGCAAGCCGTTCTGAATTAGAGGGCTTTGTTGTTGGCGGTGTCTTTAAGCGTCTCGACCGTGAAGAGGTCAATCCCAAGCAGATGAAGAAGATCAAGATGGCCACGGAGGCATGCACGAAGGAGCTCGACAAGATCATGCCCAGCTTTGGAAAGATCAACGTCCAGGACCCTTCCGACGTTCGCAAGTGTATGCAGTCTGTGGTCACCGAGTTGCGTGTTGAGGGATTGCTCGACCAATTCGATCAAGATCGCGCGGTTGCAAATGCACCGAATGGGTTGATCGACCTAAGAACGGGCAAGCTCCTGCCCCACCATCCTCACAATCTCTGCAATAATCAGACGAGTGAGTATATCTCGGGCGCTTCCACGTGGCCCACTGCGAGATTTCGGTCGTTTCTGATGGAAGTTCTTCCACCGGAGGCGATTGATTGGCTTCAAATGTTTCTTGGATATTGTCTTACCGGTGAGACGTCTGAGGAGCTTTTTGTCATTGCCAATGGCTTAAGCGGAGCGAATGGAAAAGGGGTGTTGAAACAAGCGCTTCGAAAGGCCTTTGGAAGCTACAATTGCGCCGGTAATAAGGCCATTTTTATCAAACCTACCTTCAAGGCCAATGCTTCTGCTGCATCGACTCACCTCATGCAGATCCGAACAAAGAGGTTTGTTACAAACGACGAATCAGAAGGGGTCGAAGAGTTGCACGCGTCCTTTGTGAAGGAGGCAAGCGGCGGTGGTGAGCTAGATGCGCGCGAGCTATTTTGCAAGCCGCAAAGCTACGTGCCTCAGTACAAGCTCTGTTTGTTCACCAACTTTCGACCACACTTTCCAAGTGACGATAGCGCACTGATTTGCCGGATCGTGCTCATCATGTTCAATTACACGTTCAAAAATCCCGACGAGCTTGATGCAACCAACAAATATCACAAACCAATTGATTTGACTCTCAAGCCCTACTTTGAATCAGACGCAGGTGCAGCAGACACCCTCGACTTTTGCGTTCAGGGAGCGACCATGTACTACGCCAAAAAGGCATTGGCTCCGGCCTTGAAGGTTCTTTCGCCGGTCCCTCAAGAGTTTAGCGCGGCGGCAAAGGAGTATACGGAGGAGAACGACAAGGCTTGCATGACTGAGGGCGCGGGTTTAAGTGTTGCCAAGTCCGATTTTGTTGAGGCTTTCACGAACTTCTTGTATGCGGGCGGACACGACGTAAAGTTGGCGGGTGACGGATTGGCAAGAGCGATGTGCTTGAAGGGATTCTCGCAAAAGCCGCCGGGTGGGGGAAACAACCCGATGATCAGGACGCTCGATGGTAGGAAACGAGGAAGAGGCTTCTTTGGGATCCGTTTGAAGACCGAGGAGGAATTGAAACAGACGGATGCGCAGGGGAAGGTCCGCAAAGGGACCTGATACACTTGATACAAGAATTTCGCCATTTCGAACGGACGTGAATCAGCGTCAAAATCTCCACTTTATGATCTGATTGTGATGTTTTTCCGACTTTTAAATCTTAAGCTGGGTGTTGATTTGCCTCAATGAGGGCTCAAAAACGTGCAACAAGGCGGCCGTGGAGTGTGATGCGCCGTTTGGGGGTGATACAGATGATACAAGATACACTAGCATATTATACAGATTTTCTTTAACAACAAAAAAAAACAATATTGCTATATAGAGAGGAGCATGTGGGGATTATGTGTATCAGCTGTATCAATTGTATCAGACCAGATTCTCATACTCTTGACACTTTTTCCGCGCACTCACACCGCACATGCTTCCTTGAGGCACCACTTTCAAGCATTTTGAACGATTTTGAAGTCATTGAAAGACCAATTGTGTACTCTCTTGATATGATACACGCCCTAGATTTGTGTATCGATGTTGTATCAGTAGCGAATCATGCAATCGATACAACAAAGTGTCATCTTAGCCCAATCAACAGCCTTTTTGGAATTTCAACAGTCCACACGCACCCGCCTGCTGTAATTGCTATTGCTCTTCACAAAGCGCGCTACTCTCCTTGTTGGATCGTGGCAATTAATCTATATTGGCAACGCCCTCAACTTGAACGCCCCCTCTTGATCAATTCCCTCAAAGGATTGCTATCTTGGCTCCAGAAAACTGCGTACTTTGATCGCTCAAAGAGAGTATCGAGGATGGTCGTGACTCAGCTCAGCAGCCGCTTAATACTCGTGATCTGCTGAAGGCTAACCGCGCATCTCTTCAACCCCGAGTTGATGCCCTCCGAAGCTGTCGTGATCGTCTGGCGATGTTGTGGAAAGGAATCGATAAAAAGGGTTGGGGCGCACGTGTGCGTCGCGTAGCGCTTTGCCCCCGATGGAGCGCAACTCACGGGCCCCGAGTGGAAGCGATCGACGGCAAACAGCATGAACTTGGCCAGCTGCGGCACCCGATTCAAAAACCACTCTTGGCCATTACACGCGGCATCCTCCACAATTGTGAGCCCCCGCAGCGTCCGAAACGGGAACCTCGTGAGCAAAACGGTCCCTAAGTCCGACACCGACTCGCCCCCCTTGAGCCAATGGTAGCCAAAAGGGGCTCGGTCCTGGCAGCAAGCAATGAAGACCCCCGCACGGCCCTTGGACGACCGTGGATTTGGGGCGCTACAGTGTTGAGTGAGCCGCTCCTCCGATCCCTTTTTGCCACGGCCCGCCTCATCCTCCCAATCAACGAACCGTGGCCGCCCGTACAGCAAAGGGTGGAAATCGTACGACGAGACGGCTGCGACCCGCTTGGCATAAGTTGCCGACGGCGCCGAGAGGAAGCCCCCCACCCCATAGCACTCGGGCTCGCGAACCTCGAGCTCGAACATGAGCGAGTTGGCAGCCCGCTTTAGCGCCGCCCCATGCCGCTCCGCGTACTCCATGGCCGCCGCGTCCAGCTGGCCCACGAGCCTCAGCTTCTCGCCCTCGATCGTCCACAAGTGCTCGGTGGCATCATGGAGAGCCGCCAAAGGCGAACAAGAGGAGGAGCGGGGCCGGTTCCCGCTCGGCTCGAAGCAGAGGAGGTTCACGGCGTAAATGTCGCGAATGAGGGGGCGCAACATTGGCGGGAAGGCGTACACCCCCCCTGCCACGGGGTGAAGACGCAAAATGGCCGCCAGCATGGGGCCGTCGTTAGAGAGATACGCCATCCCTCGCTCGTCGAGTGGCCCCTCCAGCAGCAGGTGGCGAAGCAACCTCAGCGTCACCACATGACCAAACACCCACGAGTAGCGCGGGATGAGGAGCGCGTGAAGGAGGGCCGCGTACGGCTGG